CCAGAGTTCAAATTTCCACACAGTTATGAAGCTGGGCCAACCACTCCCTCTCAGCCTAACTTGTGGGGATTAAATGGGGAGGGGGGGAAACCATGTATACCACCTTGAGCTCCTTGGAGAAAAAGGTGGGATATAAATTCATTCATTCATCATCATTCATTCATCGATCGATCGATAGATAGGCCAGGGATATGCATGTGACTGTCGACTTATATGAGTGCATGGTCACTAGATGGATCAGTGCATGGGCATATGTATGCTGTAGCTGCACTCATAAAAAGGGAATTACTTAAAAGAAAACTAAGGGTGCAGTTGTCACTCCACCTACCTGGGAGTGAAACCCATATGGAACTCAATGGGACTTTCTTCTGAATAGCCCTGTATAGGATTGCTCTGTTAAATAACTTTCCACAATTCATCAAACCTGAGTGAAATTTCTTTAGGGCAGTACATCATGAATGAGTATTTTTAAATGGGCTGTAAATCAAGCTATAAGAACCAAGCTCTTTGAGCAGTGGAACGTGAGACCAGCAATACTTTCTGAAGGCAAAGCTGCCCCCCATTTGTCCAGCCACTTGTGGACCCACATGAGTGATGATAACTTAGGAAAGTTCCTCACATTTCAAAACTCACACAGTGACTATCATGTTCTTCCTCTCGCTATCCTAGCCCCCACCCTTTCTCTCATACTGTGTACATGTGTTTGGAAACTTCAGCAAATGCTGACAGTGAAGGCTTGTTTTTTGTTTTAAAAAAATCACAATGCAAAACATAGGCCATATCCACACCATACATTTAAAGCATTATCATAACACTTTAACAGTTGTGGCTTCTCCCAAAGAATCCTGGGAACTATGTTAAGGATGCTAAGAGTTGTGAGAAGACCCCAATTCCCCTCACAGAACTAAAATTCCCAGAGTTCCCTGGGAAGAGGGATTGATTTTTTGACCACTTTTGAGAATTATTATTTCTGTGAGGGGAATAGGGGGTCTCTGAGTGGCAGGAGCCTCTCAAAGCTTTCTCTTTCCCTGCTGTACTACCTTGGATACATTTATCAGGATAGGGTACTGAGAATTAGGAGACCTCAGTTTCCAGAACTACAATTCCCAGAATCCCCTGAGAAGATGGATTGATTGTTAAACCACTCAGGGGCCTCCTAACAATTCTCAGCATGCTGTAGTTCACACAGGGGTGGACTTTGCTGATCTTTCTTTATATGGTGCCCTGTGCAAGGCCTGGATGGGCTGAGTCACTTCAGAGACAGGGGGTTATTCATCAAGAAGGCTGCTTAGTGAATCAATACACCTGCATGCAGATCCAGCATCTCCAGGCAATCAATTTATTTAAATGCCCTTAACAGTCTTGCTCTCTGTAAGCTCTTTTCATCTTACGCTATCATTGATATTAGAATCCTTTAAATATATTCACTAGGCTAGGTTAGATGCAGGCTTGGCCCCTTTTGGGGCTTCTTTTTCAACTATCTCCCCTAGCAGTCTCTTCAATAGCAATTTGATCTGCACTAATTTGACCAGGTTGAGCTCCATGTTGTGAAAAACGTTACCTGCTAATTTCTCCATTCTCTGTTAAAAGAAGAGCGCAACTTGGAAGAGTGCTGATAGCTGCACGTCCTGCTTGTTGTCTTCCCAGAAGCATTTGGTTGGCTACAGTGGGCATAGGATGCTGGATTAGATGGACCTTTGGTCTGATCCATCAGAGCTCTACTCATGTTCCAAGGGACAGGAATAGGCCAGGCTGGTCTCACTGTTGCCCACCCCACCCCCCTTCAGTGTAATTACATAAAACAGAAACAATTTGTGCAATTGCTTGCCTAGTCAAATAATCAAAGAGTCCTGCACTGTATGTTCCAGCTCTCCGTGTTCAATTTATGCTTGCGTTTTTCCCCAGTTGCTTATTTGGGGGTGTTAAAGAGACTATGGACTGGATCCATGGATATATATTGCCTCTGAACTGAAAATTCCATATAGCCATATTGTGTATTTAAAAAGAGGAGCTGTGTTAAGATTTTTACTGAGAACACCAGAGCCTATATTCTTCAAATATACAGTAATCTGCTCTTTCTGTTCTTCCTTAGACAGGTATTTGCCACAATGTCACCTTCACCACCCTGCGCTAGCAATTATTTTAGCTGTTCCTTCTCCATAGCCAAGAGTATGTTTGTGCGTGTCAAGTGCAATGCTTTTATGATCCAAACTGCCCACATGCTGGAGAAGGAACACAACCACCCACAAGATGTCAGATTACATATTGGCTGAGTCTCCTTAAAACATTGTGCACGAAAGCCCTTTGAAGCTTTTTTGTTGTTAATCTGCCAGCTATATTCCCATCAAGGGATAGACTGATGGCTCTAAGGCTGATCTACCTGAGCATCACTTTGTAATCTAACCTAATACTCTTTGTCTTTGTTCTGGTCAGTTCTGAGCAGAAAGATATGATTGGAACATCCCATATGGTCCGGCTTATTTGGCATAACAGGAGGGGAGATCTCAGTTTCATAGAAACAAAGAATCTTAGAGTTAGAAGGGACTCTGAGGTCAACCATTCAAATCCCCTGCAATGCAGGAATCTCAACTAAAGCATCCATGGCAAATGGCCATTGAATCTCTGCTTAAAAACCTCCAATGAAGGAGAGTCCACCTCATCCTAAAGAAGTCCATTCCACTGTCAAACAGGTCTTACCATCAGAACATCCTTATGTTTCGTCAGAATCTCTTTTCTTGTAACTTAAATCCATTGGTTCGAGTCCTAACCTCCAGAGCAAGAGAAAACAAGCTAGCTGCATCATATGCCATCATTAAACTGCTTTGAGATAGGCTTTTTGTTCAATGATAAGAAAGGCTTTTTGATGTTGCCACATAAATATTTCCAGAAAGCTTCTGAAACATTGTACTCCTGAACACTATTCAGGATCAGCCCTACTATTAGGTAAAGTGGAGAAGCTGCCTCAGGCAGAACATACTGCCCCTGCCCTCCTGAGTAAAGAGTGGCAGGAAAGTGTTCAAGGAAAAAGTTGTATGTGCCACATGGCCTGACTTCTTTCTCCTAAGCTAGCCTGATGACCTCAGATGTGATGGAGAATGCTGCCCCCATCATCAGTGAGATTTAATTGCCAGTCTGTTTGGCTTCTATACATGGAAAGGGTTGGTGGTGCTCCATCTTTTCCCTCACTCCAGGCAACAAAATGTGTTAGGCTGCCCCCATGCCTATTCCAACCCTCTTTCTATTATTCTCTTCTAATATCCAGCTCAAAAAATAATCTATATGCCAGGGAGAATTCACCAATTTTCCATTCCATCTTTCCATTTCTAACAGTTCCTACAAATCAGGCAAGTTACCTAAATGAAGAGAATGGTATATTTCTTTTCATAATGACAGGTTGTTTTCCCCCCAGTTTAAAGGCTTCAGATTACTGTCTGTTGAAGACTTCATTTTGATTCTTCTCACTTTCCTTGTTACAAAATTCCACCTTCACCTACCAAAGAAAAATACTGACTTTGTTCAGTAGCTAGCTCCAAAACCATGACATAGTGATTATATTGGCTAGTGGACAGCAGAAAACGTCACTAAAGGTTTTTTCCCCATGAAAAAATGGGGGAGGAGGGCACATGGTAGAATCATGCCCCCTTCCCTTCCTTGTAGCAACTAGGACTAAGGAAATACATCATCTACCATGGTGTCACTGTGCTCCTCATTGTCCCACCCTCAGAAGCTAACAGCACATGATATGTGAGGTGCAGGCAGGATGATGCCCAGTGCGATGACACAATGGCATGCACTGCATTTACCTAGAATTTAGAAGGGGCCGGGGGAGCGATGCCATGGCTGCTTACACACCATATATTTAAAGCTCATTTACAGCACATCAGCTCAAAAAAACAATCCTGAGAACTGTAGTTTGTTAAGGGTGCTGTGAAATGTAGCTTTGCAAGGAGCAAACTACAACTCTCAGTTTTCTTTGGGGTAAATGTGCTTTAAATGTATGAAGTGTATGCAGCCACGGAATTGTGACAGCTCCATATCTGTTGTAATATCCCTATGTTGTAAAGTCAGTGATTAGGTGAAACTTTGTTATTTGTCTCTCCCCCTCCCCCACCCCATCCACCCCCTGGTTCACATAGCTTTTTTCCATGAAACATATAGTTGTTCTGCCTTGTACTTCTTACAGTGAACAAGATCGTTCTGCTTAAGGTTTGCTGACAGATTGGCAGGAGCCTATAAATCTGAGCCAATGTTTGAAGCCTACGGACCAGCGTCTAAGGTTTCTGTGACCGGGCCAGGAGACCCTGGCAGCAGTTAAGTGTCAGGGCCCTTGAGAGACCTTTTTGGAGTTGGCAGTAGAGAAGCATACATGTTTCCTTTCCCTGGCCCTAAGACAATCTTGTCTGTCCAATAAAGTGCTGGGCATAGATTGTATGCTTAGAGCATGGTGTATAGACCCAGGTCAGCTCAAGGCTGCATACACACTATAATATGTCACAATGAGGTGATTGGCAGGTGGTTGCCCACTTACTTGTCAGATTTAGCCTGCCAGGGGTGGGGGAGATAAAAGTTGTCTCCCTTTAGCCAGAAAATATTTCTTATCCCTCCTGCACTAGACCTTTTAAGTATATGCTTCCTCCCTCAAACAATTCTGGGCACTTTTGTTTACCCCTCAGAGTTTTACATTCCCAGACACCCTTAATAAACTACACTGCCCAGAACTCTTTGCTGAGGGAAAATAAGCTTCAAATGGACTTTAAAGTTGTATAGTGTGTTCACAGTCTTTTCCCTTGTCAACAAATATTCCCTCAATAATGCACAAAGCATGAAAGACTGTCAGCTGTTCCTGCTCAGTTCCTGTTTGCAATGGTTCAGTCTCCGATATTGAACACACCCTTAAACATGCCCACATTTCCTTGGGTGCCAGGATTAGACCCTATCTTCTGTTCTGAACAGGAGAGAGGGACACAGAGTGTCTCTCTGTGAGTGAGCACAGTAGTAGCTGAGTAATTTAACTTTTTCTCCTTGATGGGGGATGCCTGCACCATCTGTGCTCCTCACTCTCTTTTTGCTGTTTGGATGTGGCAGCCATTTTGTGTTTTGCCACGCCAGCCATGACAGCCATTTCATACCCTCCAATATTTCTCCGATGAAAATAGGGACATCCTAAGGAAAAGTGGGACGTTCTGGGATCAAAACAGAAACCGGAACGGCTTCTCTAAGTTAGGAACATCTCTGGAAAATAGGGACACTTGAGGGGTCTGCCATTTTGTGCTACTGTATGTCACATTACCCACTGCAGTCCTTTTGTGACTGGGGCCAGTGGCAGTTTATCAAAATACTAAATGTGCCCCCTAAATGTGTTAAAAGAGTCAGTGTTTTATTATACTCTCAAAATGCTTTCCTTATTTTTGAGCTCTTCAGGTGGAAAGCCCAAACCAACTGAAATTTACTTTTACTTAATTCTGTATGACAAAACACACCTTAGAATCCTCATATTGTCCATAATCACTGAGAAAATGGAGAAAGTCACTTTTTTTGTCCTTTATCAGAAGACTGCCACTCTCTTTCATGAAAAAGGCTTGAATAGTTAACTGAGTAATTGCTTGGTGGCCAGAAATTCAGTGGGTATGTAGCATGAGGAGAACAGTTGGAATGAATTGACCAGGACGTTTTCTTAGTAGTTCCACCCACTTTGGTGTCAGACTTATTTATTTCAAAGCTGAGGTAAACCTCTGGGGAGGAGAACAGCAGTAACTGCCATTTTGTCCTCTCTAGAAAGCCCAGTTCTGAGGTGTTTTTGAGTTTGGGAAATTCAGAATGGCTGCCACTCTTTACAGAATATGTGGATCATGCCAGGAGCAACTAATTTTCTTCCAAAGATGTAAAGCTAAATACCACTGAAGAAAAAAGCATTGACTGAAGCAGACTTGTTAAAAAATACTGTGTCATGGACCACTGTTCCCTGCAACCCTGTTCCTAATAGTTTTAAACCTAAACTATTAGGAAAGCATTTGTTTGGATTTTTTTTTTAAAAAAAATAAGACAGTCTTGTAAAAAAAAAAACCAACTTAAAAAAACCATAAAAAACTAAGATGCATTGTTTGAAAGTAGAAGTAAAGGTTTGAGAACTCTCCCAGACAAGTTTATTGGGGGGGGGGGGCAGAGGAGAAGCAAATGAGAGATTAAAACTGCAGCCTTATGCGTGTCAATTTCTTACAGATGCAAAACGGGTATTAAGTGGCACCTGTAACACTGCCAGTTACTGCAATCAAAACAGTTAAGAAAGCAGATATGGGGTAAGGCAAACTGATCCCAAGTTGAACTCAGGTGTTATATGCTGACAAGGTCTCACCTCCAACAAAATTTTGTGGAAGTTAACTCCGCTGTTTGAATATGCACTGTGTGCCTCACTTGCTTTTGTCAACTCTGAATTGCCCACAAATCTGACTTATTGGAGTGAGAAAATTTTCTCTTCCTCTACTCTCGCCATAGCATGAATAATACTGTGTACCAGTTACACAGTCATCTTCATGCAGAATTTGTTTCATCTTAAGGACCTGATTCTGGTTTGTGTGTGTGTGTTTTTACACAGCTCTACTATGTACAGTATCCCACACATTGTTGGTGCTGCTGCTAATTAAATGTTAAATAGTAGCAGTAACGAAATAGAAACTCCATTTGAGAGACCCAGTTCTGTGACACATGTCAAACAAGAAACCTCTGAGGCCTATCAGATAACAAGTTATGGGAATCCTATGCTAACTATGGCTTCCTCTACTCCTGCGGGATCTTCTGAAAGGTTTGCTATTACATGCAGGACCTTGACAATCCCAGCAGCAGTATTTTAAGCTATTTTAGGCATAGCCATTCGCACAATAGTTTTGTATGGATGAATTGTGACTATTTCCCACTGGGATATGGTTTGATAGTGGATATTTGTTGTTATTGGCCTTTATTGGCATAAGTTTAAACAATAAAATCATACCAAGCCATCCAAATGCATTAATAATCCAAACACATACAATATATAAAAGACTAGATAGCCACCACTGAGTAAATCAGGCAACTTTAGATTTAGCTTCAGAAATCTGGGCTAAATACCCTGAAACAATCTTGGTAGTTTCATACTCCACTTGGTAGTGGAGTATCACCCTGCAACAAATACTGGGTTACAGACTCTTTGTAAATCAATATTTTAAGTTGTGAGGGAGTCACTAGGAGATTTCTGTGAAGGGTGTTGAGAAGAGCGCAACCCAAAATTATGTGATAATAATATATAATAATAATTTATTATTTATACCCCGCCCATCTGGCTGGGCTTCCCCAGCCACTCTGGGCGGCTTTCAACAAAATATTAAAATACAGTAATGCATCAAACATTAAAAGCTTCCCTAAATAGGGCTGCCTCCAGATGTCTTCTAAAAGTCTGGTAGTTGTTGTTCTCTTTGACATCTGGTGGGAGGACGTTCCACAGGGCAGGTGCCACTACTGAGAAGGCCCTCTGCCTGGTTCCCTGCAACTTGGCTTCTCGCAGTGAGGGAACCGCCAGAAGGCCCTCAGCACTGGACCTCAGTGTCCGGGTAGAACTATGGGGGTGAAGATATATCTGGTGTTGTATCTGGTGTTTTCTTACTACAGGAGCAGAATCTGTTCTGGAAGGTGTGTTTTTTTTAAAAAAAAAAAACACCTTCCGAACAAAACAGATGAGGGAAATGCATTTAGACGAGCTAGCATAAAAGCTCTGTGATATGATAGGGTATCTAAATTGTAAAAGTCATTAGGCATTATTCCATGGTGGGTCTGCGATGCTAAGTAAGCAGATGAACTTACAAAAGGCTGGGAGGGGTAGAGTTTTTGGATTTCATGGTCTAGCAGTCTCTGCTTGATGAGAGAGAATATATGTGATTCATCGGATAGAATCCCTATTTGCCTGAGTTTGAGGATAAAATCAGAAACCCATATAAAATTATGGTATTTGAAAGTCATAATCCAGTCCCTATATTCTAAGAGATCCTGACCTAACTCTGCCCACATAGCCAGATAGGAGACACATTTTGGGGCTCCTAGAATTTTTGGCTTTGAATTTGAAATGCAATCAATCCTGTAAATAAGTGTTCCCATTGAACAGCGTCCATTATTATTGCTTAATTTTGCTATTCAGCGCTGTAAAAGAAAATCTACAGGATGGACTGCGAGCAGATGCTATATAACCAATGCATTAATGGAAGCTATAGTGAAATTCATAGGAGTCAAACAGAGAAGGGCTTCTGTGGTGACCATAAGATTTGAGTAGGTTCATATGGGGTGGTTATTCAATTCCAATCCCCATCATGACCAACAGTTAAGAATGATGGGAGCTGTAGCCCAACAACATCTGGAGGGTGAAGGTTCACCACCCCTTGCTTAGGTCATGTATTCTACACCTACTGCCCCTCACTACTCTTGGAATTGCCCTTTGCTCAGTTTAACCTTTCTGAAAGATTTTATAAGGAATCTTACATTTGTCAGAACTTAGCGCTTTTCTTTACTGAATCATCCTAAAGCACATAATTAAGGAGGCAGCAGGCAGGAATCTTCCAAGTTCCCTTAGTATACTGCATTTTGCAGGCATCCACTTAAAAGTATCTCTAGGGAAAATGGTGAGCCCACCTTTATTTAGGTACAGTCCAACGAGAGGTTGCTATTTTGGGGGATGCAGTCACTTGGGATTCTTAGACAGTGAGTTAGTTTCGCTCTGTATCTTGTGACCCTGAAGCTGGAGTGAGGAGTTTGCTGTCACAATTTCCTTAAAATCAGCAGGAAGGGGAACAGCTGGTTTCCTTTTAGTACTCTTTTTTGTGACACAACATAGATGCCACCTAAGCATGTCACAAAGTTTGTGCGTGTATGTGTGTGCGCGTAGGAATATACTCTGCTGAAAACCTTAACTGGTAATGTGCAGCAGGTGAACACAATCTCCATCCCCTCTCTGTTGTGTACAACAACATGCAAAACGCAACCTGAAAGACAGCAGGGGCAGGGGGTGGAATGCCCTTGCTGCATTTTAAGCTGCAAATTAGTTCATAGCCTAAATGTTTTGCCTGTTGTTTAAGAGGAGTTCTGAGCCTTGCCAATTTTTATTCTATGCAATGGATGTTTTGTGTTGCCTTATAACAGTCGTTTAAATTTTTAAAAGTGCCCCTGGGGCCAAAAAAACTGGGGACCCCTACATTGAGATAGCACAATCAAGAATCAAAGGTTAACAGGCTGCAAGTCTATAGTGCCACATCCTATGCTATGTGACTGACTGACTAACTACACAACTCATTTATATGCTGTGTTAATGTATCCCGAGCATATTCAAAGCTGCTAATTAAGTCATTTATTTATTTAAAATCTTTTATACCCTGGCCTAAACTTCCATGGCACCCAATAGTTAACCGATCACCCCAATTAAAACAACTCGAATTAAAAATTAGAATCCTCTGAAATTCTGTAGGCTGGGTTTGAGGTGATTCTGGAGGAAGCGTATTAAGTTAGGTGCAAAAAATGGGTGTGAACTACCTTGTTTTTAATTGAGTCTCAGAGAAAACCTATACTTTTAGGGGAAAACCCCAACCACAATTCCTGTTGGTTGGTCCACACCCATTGCTAAGCTATAGCTGATTAATGCATTGCACCAACTACTTATACCAAATAAGTATAAGCCCACTACAGTTCATATATCAAACGCTGACAACAGCCTGTATTGCTGCAGAGTAACCAGAGATGATGTAGCTGTCATGGAATCATATATCTTTGGTCAAACATAGGGAGACATATTAATTTACAACTTAAAGCTTGGGGTCGGGACAGTCCATACCCTCCATACATCTCAGCCAAGCACACTCTGCTCCTTTGGCACACTTTTTGTGGGTGCTGAGATTAGAATTCTGCCATGTTCTCACATCTGCTATGGCAATATTGACTATTAGTATATTTTAGCAGCTGGCATGTGGTGCAAATCAGCTTCTCACATATCTGCCACACATTAGTTATGTGCTCTGAGTTGGCGGTACTTTGGGCAGCACATTCGGCACTCATCTGCTAACTTGCAGAATGCTGATTTAAAGGTTTTTGGTTCCTCTTACATAAATGAGACTGAGAAGTCAGACCACTAGTCCATCTAGCTTAGTACTGTCCACACTGACGAACAGTGACTGTCCAGAGTTTCAGCAGAATAATTTCCCAGTCCTACCTGGGGGTGCCATGGAATAAACCTGAGACCTTCTGCATTTGAAGCAGATGCTCTATCACTGAACTACAGCCCTTCACAGTATTTTCCCTGTTAGTATGGTTTTCATTATTTGTACCCAGGCATATACAATACAAAATGGACATCCTTATGCACATTATTATTCTGATTTCTCATTCTGGTAACAGTCATTGGGGAGGAATTGGAAAAGCAAACATTTAATAGAATTTTCTGGCCACAAACCGTATTCTTTCACTCAATCTGTGATTTCTTTTGTTAGCATCCTAGGAGTATGGTGGGGGGCATGTGCTTTTGGCCAAGAATATCACTGCAGAGTTCAACATAAATAGAGAGATGTTTTTAAAAGCCTATCAGTTTTCCACAATGTCAGGCAAAGCACTTAGCTAAGTTATGCGTGCCAATATCATCTTCCCCATGGCTGGCTTGGCATTAAACATTAGGAATAAAGGATAATTTTAGCAAATGTCACATAATTTAGAGGAACATCCCTTGACCCACAAGCCCAGGATTATGCTATTCTATCTCTCTCTAACTTGGCAGGATCTACAATGAGGTTTTCAGAAGAGGTGGACAGTAATTGACCACTGATGCCCAAAGTTTTAAGAAATCAGGACAGAGTAGTTTTTTTGATTTAGACTGAAAGAACAAACATGATAGTCCTAGCTTGGGGGGGTGGGTGTCTTGGTTTTCTTTAGTAAAAGATCCACTGATTTCATCAGGGCCACAATCCACTGAGAAGTTCTCTCATTCATTTCAACTGGATCTTGAACAGCAGAACTTCATAGGAAACTGCTTTATACTGAGTCAGACCATTAGGTCATCCAGCACAATATTGTCTACATTGACTGGCAGTGACTCTCCGGGACTTCAGACAGGAGTCTCTACCAGCCCTATCTGGAAATGCCAGGAATTGAACCTGCGAACTTCTGCATGTAAGGCAGATGCTCTTCCTACTGAGCTATGGTCCTTCCCAATGAATTAAGCTCTGGATCCACCAAGTACATGTGTGACTTTCCAGAAAACAGGGCATGTATCAAATAGATGTAAAATTCCTGTTGTTTCTCAGTGACTCATTCTGATTCTATTTCTAACAACACTGAGTTCATGATTAAAGGGACAGATTATGCTTCTTAAAAAATGAGTTTTGTTATGTGATTGAAATTGTTTTACTATATTTATTGCTATGCAATGTAACTATAAACACACACACACACACACACACAGTTATGTTGCATTGCAATAAATATATTAAAACAATTTCGTTCACAATACAAAAGACATGAAAAAGCATAATCTTTCTAATAGTAAGCACAGCACCACAATTCTGACAGAAATGGAACCCAAATGACCCCCCCCCCCGGAAAGCAAGTGGGAAGTATCAGCATACTTAGGGAAATCCCAAGATTTAGAGAAGTATAAGAAATCTAAAAACAGCAACACCAAAAGGGGCACCTCCCACCTCAAAATTGCCCAAAAAGTGCTTGGTGGTCACCAAGAGATACTTAATGTTGATGCCAATTCGAAAAGAAAATATTCCTGCATGTGACACTGGCCCTTGAGATATTCCAATAAAGTATTCCTTACCATCCTGCTGCCAGAGAACTCTATGTTTGGTGGTGATGTATGAGTGGATATTTTCTGTAGTGCCACCCTAATTCTGGGATACCCTCTCTCACAGAAATTCACTTGATATCCACACTAGTGGCATTCAGACGCCAGGTAGAAATCTAACCATTTATTCTGGTTTTCGGCCTGTTATTTTATATTTTTGGTATGTGTTTTTTAAACTGTGTTTTCTCTTTAATAATAAATAATAATAATAAATTTTATTTATATCCCGCCCTCCCCAGCCGAAGCCAGGCTCAGGGCGGCTAACAACAATAAAACAGTACAAAAGTACAGCATAAACAACATTCTAAAATCATTCATTATAAAATTAATTAATTCAAGCCACTGGCAACCATTGGGCCAGAGCTCCGTGAAGATTGCGGAGGGAGGGAGTCAGGCTGTGCCCTGGCCAAAGGCCTGGTGGAACAGCTCTGTCTTGCAGGCCCTGCGGAAAGATGTCAAGTCCCGCAGGGCCCTGGTCTCTTGTGACAGAGCGTTCCACCAGATCGGAGCCACAGCCGAAAAAGCCCTGGCTCTAGTTGAGGCCAGCCTGACTTCTCTGTGGCCTGGGACCTTCAAGATGTTTTTATTTGAAGACCGTAAGTTTCTCTGTGGGGCATACCAGGAGAGGCAGTCCCGTAGGTACGAGGGTCCTAGGCTGTATAGGGCTTTAAAGGTTAAAACCAGCACCTTAAACCTGATCCTGTACTCCACCGGGAGCCAGTGCAGCTGGTATAGCACCGGTTGAATGTGATCTCGCAGCGAAGACCTCGTAAGGAGTCTTGCTGCATTTAAACTGAGATATTGTGTTTTTTAAAATTAATTTTATTATGGCCCATCCAGCGATCCAAGTATATAGGGTGGGCTACAAATAGCCTCTATCTATCTATCTATCTATCTATCTATCTATCTATCTATCTATCATCTATCATCTATCTATCTATCTATCTATCTATCTATCTATCTGTCTAATCTATTGACATACAGGCTTTCCCAGGGCAGATATATCCATACCAAATTGCCAAGTCCTGCCCTGATGGCACCATTGGTAATATGTTCTTAATTAAATGACTTCCTGATCCATTGCAAGGGATGGTGATGGCCCAAGGAAGATGGAGACCAGTAGAGCCTGGATTTTGGAATGGGCAGGAAGCTTAGGCAAGACAAGGTCAGGACCTTGGATAAGGACCAAGGTGCTGGTTCAGGACCATGGTTAGCAGTTCTGCAGCTGATAAGTAGTCAGGATGAAAGCCCTGCCTCCCAAATACTGTACTGCTCCTGGCCAGTTGCTCCTGGCTGGTGCCTTTTTTGTAGCTGTTGGCTTCTTTTAGGCAATGGGTTTTCAAGCTGCAGGGGCTTTTGCAGGAAAGGTTCCACAGGTATTTCCTGAGCTGCCTAAGGCAGTGTTTCCCAACCGGTGTTCCGCGGCACACTAGTGTGCCGCGAGATGTTGCCTGGTGTGCCGCGAGATGTTGCCTGGAGGGAGGCGGGCGAGGGCGTTTGCTTCCCGGAGGACGGAGCGAGGGCGCCCCCTGCTGGGCCGGGGCTCGCTCTCCCCAGAGGGTAAATCTGGATCAAATGGGGGGAGGGGCGGGCAGAATTCTGGGGGCCACTGATGCCCTACAGACCCCCCCAAGTCCTCCGGGGCGCGCGCTCTGCTGGGCTCTTTTCGGTCGTCGTGCTTGTGGGAAGCCGACCCTTCCCTGGGCGACGCGCCGCCTCGCGACTCCGGAGTCAGTCCCGCGGGCTCTCGGAGGGACTCGCGAGCGACGGCGCGGCGGCTCCGGGGCGCGCTCAGCCGGGCCGCCGCGCGCCCCCGCGCAGCCCCTGCTGCAGCTGCCCGGCGTGGAGCGCGATGCAGAGCCGGCCGGGCTTGGAGGCGCCCAGGTAGGGCCGAGCCGGGCGGGGGCGGGGAGGTCTCGGTCTGCTGCGGGCGCAGGAGGGCGAGCGGGAGAGGGGGAGCCGTCGGGTCTCCTGGAAGGAAGCGAGGCGGCGGCTGAGGGGGATGCAGCCCCGTACCCAGCAACAGGCGCTCCTCGAAGTGAGGCCACAAGTCGGGGCTCGGACAGGGCCTGGAAGCAGCGGCTCCGGCTCTTGGGAGCGGAGAAGGGGACTTCGAAAGCGGCCTGGAGGAGAAAAGCCCCGATGCAGCGAGAGCGGGGAGCTTGCTGCCTTGTCCAGGCCTCCTCGCTTTGTGCCGTCCGCTGCCGGGAGCAGGACACGGGGGCTCCTCGTTCGCATGCTTTCCCGGGTGATCGGTGAGGGTTAGGGTTAGGGTTAGGGTCCCTCAGTACCTCGCTTTGCTGCCTCCTCCCCCCCCACCCCCAAAGCTTGGAGGTTCCCCGGCAAGGGGGAGGGAAAAAATTGAAAGTTACACTTTCGTGCGTCCCTCCCGGCGTGACGCTGTGCGCTGACGTCACGGGGCTGTAATGGTGGTGTGCCTCGAGATTTTTTTCATCAAACAAGTGTGCCTTTGCCCAAAAAAGGTTGGGAAACACTGGCCTAAGGGTTTATGGTCTGGTCATGAGAGTCCAGGGGCAGAGATGTATCTTCAGATTTCAGGGAACATTGGTAAAACTGGAGTGAATCCCTCTCTTCTGGGAAACTTCTGTAAGATCACTGTTTCTTAGGATTCCTGGTCCTGTGCCATAACAACTGGGAACAGGGAACTTCTTCACCCTCTTTTTTGAGTTCATGTGCCAGATGTTCAGGAATACAACTCCAGATCAGCTGGTTCAGATATACCAATTGGAAAGCGCTACCAAAAACTTTGTGCAGTTGCCTGCAGATGGCACCCAGTCTCCCCTGTTTATCCAGCTGATACTCTTAAAATAATACTGCTGCAGCAACTCCAAATGGATTGTTGAGCTTATCATAACAAACCAATGACCACACCATGCACAAATGCCACCCAGCCTCATTTGGGCTTATCGTGGGCTTGTATTGTTATGGTTCCAGACTGCTAATACCCTTAAGCCTCAGGCTCTAACTTGAGCAGGATGGGTTTATTTTGGGAAGAAGAATCTTTCCCATAGATGAGTGCCTATAATTCCAACAAAAGTCCTTTTTAAAAAAGCAGATATACTGTACTGAATTGTTTAGTCTAAAATTAAAAGAGTGTCACTCCCATGACTTACAAAAGAAGACATTGTAAAATCACTTGTCAGCAGTGAGAAAGATTGCAGCATCACCCAGAGATAGGATGGCCAGGGTAAAAAAAAAGAGAGAGAGAGAACAGGGCTCCTGTATCTTTAATAATTGTGTTGAAGAGAGAATGTCCTGCATGACAAGCTATGCCAGCTGAAATTCCCTCTTCTACACAACTCTTAAAGGTGCAGCAGCTCTGAACTCATTTCATCTGGTCACCCTACTGTCAACAAAATTCCGGCTGCATATGTCATTCTGCTATGCCTGTAGAATTGCTGCCCTAGATGCATGGACCAATTAACTGTTCTCTCACCCCCATGAAGTAGAATGTTACCCCACTTCTTTTCAGGCAAACCTATAACTATCGAAGGCAGACCTAGTTAAGTTTGGTATAACCATCCCACTTTCCTTTCCCTCCTGTTTTCATTATTCCCGTGGTGACCATGAGAAGGGCCATAGCTCAGTGGAAGGGCACCTGTTTTTCCTGCTGAAGGTTCAGTCCTTTACATTTCCAGGTAAGATTGGAAAAGACCTGTGTCAGCTTCAGCCTGCTAGGACTGTTAGGATTTGTAGTCAAAAATACTGGAAATGCACCAGGTCAATGAAAGCTGAGCTAAAAACAGTAACTTAAAAAAAACTGCATCCAAATAAATCTCATCAACAGAAGTGTTTTTTAAAAAATTGGGTTCTTGTATAAACTGTCAAGGAATTTTGTCAGCTCTTTCCCAACTTGAACAGCTCTGTCTTCCCTGCATGGTCAAAACATTGCCACATTTAAAGTTACAGGGGTGACCAGATATCTCTCATTCCTGCTCAATGCTCTGCCACTCCTTCTAGCTAAACCAGCTGTCGGCCCCTGTGGCGAGTGCTCCCATGTGCAAAGATCCACTGTGAGAAATGAAATCCTAGGACTGTTACAAGACACTCCTTCCTGACATGTGCTACTTGTATAGTAAGTTCACTGTTTGGGTGGCTGTCAGGCAGGAAGTATAACCATTGAATGGTGTTTATCTGCCAAACATATGCCATCCATTAAGTGAGATGATGTCAAGCTTATTTGTACTGAAAGAAAACAAAGATCAAGGTTGTAGTTTTTCCCATCCATAACATTTTGTATCCTTAGTATGTCTTATTTCTATGGTTGCAAATAGGGATGAAATTTTCCAAAAGGCTCACTTTGCGTGGATTTCCCCCCCTAATGTCCATCTTGCTCCTTGATCTCAGTTAGAAATCATTTATTTTTTACAGGTTTCACCAAAAATAGAAATAATTATTACTTGCACCATTATATTCATCATTATGCACATTATAATATGTACAATCTTATATTTTACCAGGTCTGTGAATGTTTAAGAAAAAATTATTGCTGCTGTTGTTCTTATTGCTGTAATATTACATACATGTTACATGTGTATACACTCCAATATTCCTAAAGCAACCAGCACATAAATTGATACAACAATACATGTAACTGTATAAAAATACTCATGTCTTAATACTTGCAAAATCATGCTGCAAAAATACAGTTCCACACGAGGCCTGACTTTTATAATATACATTTTCACATAATTTTGTATATGATTAGGTGGGCTTTAAAAATAATATGATATGACAAATATACAAGTACCTCAAGCATAAGCAGATACTCGATGCAGGAGGTCGTCCAGTGCAGGCAAAGGTTGATTGGGTTGCAAGCCCTAAATTCCATGTATAAATCCATTTAAAAGGGATTCCTCCTCCATCCCTAGTTGTAAACATTGGCTTAGATCTGAAAGGGCTGTTGCACAAGTGGAAAGCACTTCCATCCACACATAGTAAGGACACTGAATTTTGCTAGTACCTCCTTTGCCTTCACAGAATATGCTCTTGAGGACTGGGGGGCACAGCAAGGAGTGTTGTCCCAGCACCTGCGATTGTCATGGATTGGATGGATGCAGAGGAGTGGTAGGAGTCCCCAAGGAAGCCCCCAAGGGAACAAAGCTCAGAGTCTTTCAGGATTGCAAGCCAGAAAATTAATGAAAAAGAACTAGGTTTATTTATTTATTTTAATTTTGTGGTTTTTAACTCTCTTCGAGGTGTTATTAACTCTCTTCGAGGTGTGCATCCGGTACAATCCTATGTATATTTGCTCTGTGATAAGTCACACAGCAGTGGGGCTTACTCCCAAGTAAATGGGCAGAAGATTGCAATGTTTGTACCCCCCCACACCCTTTTTGTAAGAACATATCCAAAGGCTAAAGGCTAAAGTACTGTGGTTTCAAAAGAAAGCTACGCAGGCCAGCATACTAATTGGGGTGGATGAAGTGCGGCTTAGAGTTTGCTATAAATTTAGCAACCAACCTAACAGGATTGGGCCATAAGTAACTTAGCCCACAGCTTAGTTAGCAGCCATTTTGTAATAAAAGCATGCTCAATAGCTGAAAAGAACTGTGCAGAGTTTCAAAAGAATATCCATAGAGGCCAGAAATATCAAAAGATTAATTGGGGCAGAGTCCATATCTGGTAGCTTAGGAAAGCCAATGTTCGGTCAATGAGGTGCCAGAGAAGGGATCTTATGATGGGATAGAAGACCCTAAAGGGGATAAAGAAGGATTGCTTATGAACCTGGTCTCTTTATATTACAAGGGTAAAATGCAAGGTCACATGCTAAATTAGGGAAGGAAGCATATCAAGTTGGATACTTTTGATCCACAGAATGTCTAGCATGTTGCATGGATTTGCCTGCACATAAAAACCAGAGACTTGGGGAATTAAAGCATGTTAATTACACTTACTAATTGTGGGTGAAGGCAGGCATTGTGTGTGATAATAATAATAATTTATTATTTATACCCCGCCCATCTGGCTGGGTTTCCCTAGCCACTCTGGGTAGCTTTCAACAGAATAAAACTTCAAACATTAAAAATTTCCCTAAACAGGGCTGCCTTCAGATGTCTTCTTAAAGTCGGATAGTTGTTTATTTCTTTGACATCTGATGGGAGGGCATTCCACAGGGAGGGTGCCACTACTGAGAAGGCCCTCTGCCTGGTTCCCTGTAACCTCACGTCTTGCAGTGAGGGAACTTCCAGAAGGCCCTCAGCACTGGACCTCATTGTCCAGGCTGAAAGATGGGGGTGAAGACGCTCCTTCAGGTATACTGGGCCAAGGCCGTTTAGGGCTTTAAAGGTCAGTGTGACTGGAAATGGCTTGAGCACGCATTTTATTTCCTCAAAAGACACATCTTAGAATGGATGCTTAAATTGCTTCCACCACACTTAAAATATTAGCCCACTTCGCACATGCATTGAGCCACTGTGGTGTAGTGGTTAGTGTCAGACTAGGACCTGGGAGACCAGAATTCAGTTCCCTACTCAGCCATGAAGCTCACTGGGTGTGCTTTGGCCAGTCACTGCCTCTCAGCCTAATCTACCTGACAGGATTGTTTTGGGGATTAAATGAGGAGAGGGAGAACCATGTGAGCCACCTTGAGGTCCTGGAGAAAAAGGTGGGGTGTAAATGCAATTAGTAATAACAATAGCACATAGAATGAGGCTGTGGGGGCCCTACCTCTGGCTCTTTCCCAAAGCCACAGGGAGCCACTGGTTTTGCCTGACACCCACATGTTCGGTATGGATGTCTGCAAGGAAAAGCCGATACACAAAGACCTACACAATTGTCATTCCAGAGCAGAGGGAAGTCTCCTTGGGTGAAGGTCAATACACATAGGCTTTCCATTGCAGACATCTATTCCTAATGCATGGATGTCATGGGGCCAGTTGAACCACACAACCTCAGGGACAGAGATGCACCCTAACAACTCTGTTCTCTGTGTAATTCCACTTCACTGGATTCGTGTGAAAGGGAATATAATGCCTGCCTTTGTGCTCTGGAAAGTAGGCTAGCATTATTATTGAAGCTGAGTTATGGGCCCTGTCTGCACTACATGTTTAAAGTAATATTACAACACTTCAAATAGTCTTGATTTCACCCAAAGAATCATGGGAACTGTAGTTAAGGGTGCTGAGAGCTCTAGGGAGACCCCTAATTCCCTCACAAAGCTACAGTCCCCAGACTTTGCAGGGAAGAGGGATTGACTGTTAAACCCCTCTATAGATTGTAGCTTTTCGAGAAGAGGGGTCTACAGTTTTCAGGATTTTTTGGGGAAAGCCATGACTATTTAAATTGGCATATTACTGTTTTAAATGTATGGTGCAGAGGGAGCCACAGCGAATTCTCTAAGGATTCCAAACAAATTCAGACTCAGCTGTGATTTGAACCAGGGCTCTTCAGTTCATCATTCATGCTCCTATACCAGCTGATATTCAAGTGAGCTGCAATGGGAAAAACCCCAAAAGGATTGGTTCAGTCATTAGGCAGAGTAGGCAGCTGCCCCTCAGGCAGCTGAAATAAGGGTGCCAGCAGATTAAGCTTTTATTATTGTTTGTTTTTACTTCTAGGGATGGAGAGAGGTACTTGTGGCATTTTCTGACTTAGGTGCCAAAATAACTTGGCTGGTTTTGGGCACTGTGGATCTTGACTTCAAAGGGCGGGGTGGGGACATCATTTTGCTGCTGTCTCAGGCATAAAAATGTATTGGGCTGACCCTGATCCAGTTTATAAGCATAATCTGCTTGCAGACATGCATATCAATCAAGGAGCTGCTGTGTTTTTCTGCTTCAGCCTGGCTTCTCTCTGCCCCCAGTCAAGCACAACAGCAAAATGGATAGACATTCCTGCTGGCCAATGAACTGAATGATGATTGGCCATTTGTCCTGCCCCTTCCCAAGGCACCAGGGAGGCTATTGGCCTTTTGCAGGGGCAGGGGGAATTGAACACTGTATGCACATGCATTTGATTAAATGTGCATTCATGCCCCACCCATTTATGAAGAAGAATCAGTTTTCAATATGTTGAAAAATTGCTTAGGGGAGTAAGGGAGAAGTTCCCAAGCAATTTATGCCCACCAGTCTTCAAACAATCTGTGCTGTGCCCTCAATAGGGAAGAAAAACATCCTTTGGAACAAGAAGCACTGACTGTGTTTCCACCATGGGCCCACTACAAAAATATGTACTTCACTCTAGAGCAGGGATGGGGAATCTGTAGCCCTCCAGATTTGCTGAAACCTAACTCCCATTAGTGCCAGCCAGCAGGGCCAAGGGTCAGGGATAATATAGACCAACAGCACCTGGAGTACTATGGTTCCCCATCTGAATCCATAGTATTTCTTTACACCATGCATATGTCACTTACAGAATTTATTGCTATCGAATGTAGGGATAGCCACAGGCTTGGAAGGCTTGAAAAAACAAACTGGGCCAATTCACAGGGAAGTCACTGGTCATTAACTTAGGGTGGTTAAGACTGATGGTAGTATATGTCCAATTGCAAGATGCTGGGGATAAATATAAGAGATGTTTAGAATCATCAGAGTTTGCTTTCACTGAATCCACCAAGGCAACAGTGTTCTATGTCAGCCTGTACCATAAACATGAGCCAACACAGTATAGAGTGTTGGTGGAAATCAGGCCTAATTAGCCATGACAGGCCTCTCTGTTTGGCATGCAAGGCTGATTTGGCCAAACACTGACAATCAGGATTGTTGGAGCTAGCAAAGCACTATGCAAAGATGGACCACCTGACATCACTGGGATGGATGCCAGGTGATTGCCAGGTGGGCAGTCCCATCCACCTGTTAAACTGGGCCCAGTGGGGAGATAAGGATCTGGCCCACTGGCCAAATCCAGTTCCCCAGCCCTGGTATACAAATACGGTCCTCTCAGTGGTGGCACCTATACTATGGAATTCCTTTCTGAGACATAGCCAGCAGGCACCATCTATTTAGTATTTTAAGGATGTTTTATAAACTCATCTGGTTTGTTGGATAGCCAGCTGCTAGGGTTTTTGTTAGTGTCTGGGTTTTTGTTTTTTCTGATTGGGCTTATTTAAAAATGACGGTTGTATTGGAATTTAAATTGTCGGTTATTGACGTAGTGGTATATTTGCTACCATACGAGCCTCATTGAGAAGGTGGTGTCTGGAAAGGCAGCTTAGAAGTATTTGAAATAAACTGATGCTCCAGTCTCTCCAACTATTAGCTCTGAAGAGCACCCTCCCATTAGCATCAGTGGGAACTTGGGAGCTTCTTCAACACGGATAGCAGCCACCACAAGGTGTGGGCTTTTGTTCAGACTGTGGCAGGGAAGGAAAGTGTTAACCTCTTCCCCAGGTGTTGATGAAAATGCTGCCCACTAAGCAGAGCATTAACTTTTTTTATGTAACCAAGCAGGTTTAGCCCACAGCCTGTCAGGGGCTAATGGGAGTTGTAGTCCAAAAACATCTGGAGGGCACCAAGTTGGTGAGTTTTGCAGTGAAGCAGGAAGGCAAGCAAAGCTCATGTTTTATTGCAAAGGTGACATAAACAAAGCTATGTGAGTGAGCTTAGCATTACTGAGGGACTGTTATTAGAAATTATCCGGGTGCTATCTGC